AAGCTCGGCTTTTTTGGCCTTGTCATCAGCAATAGCCGTCTTGGCTGTTTTTCTTAATTCGAGCACGCGCTCGTGCGCAATTTGATTCTTTTGCATGGCCGGTAGAACATTTACAATTAGACAAACCGGGCAAAAATTTGGTGGCAAATTCAAAACATAGGTGGAAGTCAGTGTGCCAAAATTAGCGATTTATTGGCCGATCGTATGGCCTTCAACTCGGTTAGATGGGCGTGGTGCTTCATGTCGGCTGGAAGACAGACATTTTTTGCTAGGTTGAATGGTAGAAGATGGTCCTTTTTGGCATAAACGGAATCGGACACAGTCACGGCTCGGCCCTTAAAGAACACAACCGGTGCCCACGTAAGGGGAGATGGGGTAGCTCGGTGTCTACCGCCATCTCCTATTCTTCAGCTAGAGGGATTAGGTTGATTTGGGAAAGAGTGGGGTCTGGCGGTTCAGGTGAAGGTTCTAGGAGGAAGTCGGTGACTCTGGTTTTTCTCTTTTCGCTGTACTGGTATGTTGGCTCGAAATTTAGCAACTCGGCTCAATCTCGGTGGCGGTATCGAAGGGTGGCGCGAAAGGTGTCTTGATTGGCATAGGCGTAATCGGATTTAAGTTGATTTAAATCTGCATCAACGAACACAAGGGTTAGTACGGTGGTTATTGGAAACAGTAAAAAAAGATGGAACCGAGATGTCCTTACCAACTGTTCCTTTATTCCAGTTTATGTTGTATCCCGATATCTGGGCTTCCTGATCTTCAAAATTACCAAAAACCCAGAAGAAATCGTCATCGTTCAAGTCTTTGTCCGGTATGTTTTTTATTATTTTTCTCGGCCTCTCTTTACTCTGAGATAGTACACCCAACCGTCGTCATTTTGGCCGAGCGAATATTGATGAAATAGTTCGGCCAATCCGAGGTTGAGGCCGAGCCAGAGGTTTAGCTCGGTGATGCCATTTATTATCCTATAAGTGTTTGTGGAGAGTTGGGTTGGGCACAATCTTGTTTACCTAAGGAATTCGCATATGAGGGGTTGAACAAGAAACTGAAGGTCGGCTTCTACGATCGATATCACTGTAAAAGGAACGAAGCCCGGTTTGCCCCAAGGTGTGGTTTTTAGCTTGACTAAGGAGAGGAGGACGTCATCAGGAATATGATAGTCCCTTCGAAATTCAGCCATGGCTCCAGGGGAGTCCACTAGAAACCGGTATTTTCTCATGTAACTTAAAAAGAAAATTGTTAATGTGTTCACCGTGGCCTAGCTCGGCGCGGTTGAGGCTTTTATTAGCTCGGTTGAGCAAAACTGCCTAGGGGTAGAGTGCAAAGGTGTGCCTGGCCAACCTAGTCAAGTCTGCAAAGTGGACATAAAAGTGTTTTGCCCAGATAATTGGACTGGGCTAAGTAAAAGGCAAAGTAACCAGGACAAAAAAAAAAAAAAAAAGCCTAGCTTGGTTACATCTGGGCTACAGACAGTTTTTAGTTCAGCCGTGAAACAGGGCCAACTCAAGGTCTATAGTACGGTTGGTGATTAATGTGCAAGGTTATAGCGCGTTTTCTAGTTCGATCGTGTACAAACAAGTTCCTAGTTTGGTTACAGCACGATTTTGGATCAAATATCATATTTTTCAAAATCCAGTTGGTGTGCCTTTAAGCTTGAGCATAAGGTTTTGGGTTTATGGTATTTGCTCAACACACTAGTGCATATAAATACGTATATATGGAGATTTAAGTGCTGAAAGTATAGAAATAAATAAAAAGGAACATCAGAAAGAGGCATTAGCAACTTACGAATGTGAAAGCGTGAAAACAAAGTCCAACTAGCAAGAAGGCCAACGTAGCGTACACTGTAGTTACTTGGTTAGGGGTTGAAGCTTAGGAGGCATGGATATGGAGCTCAAAATGCAGAGATTTTCTAAAGAACGAAGGTGAATAATAAAATGGTGACTGTTCGAAATGAAGAGATCGTATTTATGTGAAAGACAAAACGGCGGGCCTATTTCAATTTTTTTGAGTAATATGAAACGGCTGGCATGGTACAAGGAAGCTATCGATGTGTGACACGTGTTCTATTGAGGACGTGTTGACAGGCTTTTTTGAAACGACAAGCTGTGCGACCGGCGCAAGTTCAGGAAGTCGAACCGACTTCAGTCCGACGAAAATCATTGTCTTATCTCGGTTGGAATCGTTATTTCAACGAGATGGGACTTGGGTAACTCGGCTAGAAGTTTATAATCTCAAACATGCTTTGCAGATGGAATTAAGGGGCAGTTGAGAGGGTAATTTATGTGAAAATTGGGCCGAGCTACGTATAACTAATGAAAAAACCGAGCTAGGTACAATTTCCTGGATATTGTGTTGTACTACGGGCCGAGGTAAAGAAGTTCAGTCCTTTAGCCCGACAGTTCGGTCAGAGGCAGGCTACTAGTGGCCTGGTCTGGTCATCCTGAGCCGAGGTATTGTTGGAAGAAGGACCGAGGTATATGATAGCTCTGCAGGACGTCATCTAAACAGTAAAGACTTATAGAGTAACCTGCAGTAGCGCCGAGCTATGTAAGCATGGTTAGGTCTGGCGTAAGGCGCAACCATGCTAGCTCGGTTGAGCTGTTACTAAACCAAGATAAGGAGGTTTAAGCCATCTCACTTGGCTAACAGTGAGTAGGGTGTTATCAGGATGGGCATTATTCTTGGGAGTGTGATTCCTAGGACGACTCTTATAAGGAGAGTTGGAGTCCTACTAGGATTGTGCCGGGTAGAGTCTATAAAAGCTCATGACATGACCTATGTACATGTATCATAATTTCTACTTTCAAATACACAGAGCTTTTGTGTCTATTGTCTATTTGCTGACTTACGCATCAGAGAAGTTTCCGGCACACACCCGCCGGCTAGCTCACGTTTGTGTTTTCAGGTAGTAAAGCAACGACGTTTGGAGGAGTGCAAACTTAATCAACAAGATTATATGAGAAGATTATTTCGTGCTCGTACAGTATACAAAATGTTTTTTTTTTTTTTTTCTTAATATGTTCTTTGGCTAAGGATTTATTGTATTATTTATAATAAGTAATTATCTGATACTTTGGAAGCACTATATGGTATTGTTTATGTAGTAGTTAAAAATCTTATGAATTAAATATAATTAACTCATTATTTTCAGGTAGTTGACCAATTACTTAGTGTGATTTGTGATTTTTCATGCTTTGAGCATCATATAGGCAACTCCATATGGTACTCTAAGACTATTTTATAATTTTTATTCAAAACACATCATTTATAAGCAATATTATCTCTTTAATATTTTTTTATCAAATAAAAATTAAATAGATTTTATAATAATTTGGGTTATAAATGATGTGTTTTTATTTTTTAAATTAGAAATTTTGATCCATAATTTTTTGTGTAAAAATTACAAAAAACACCATCCTACATCGAGCTATTACACACTATTATAGAATTTTGATTTGTTCCTATTAATAATGATTTTTAATTTCTTATGCTTAAATTTAGCTCATAAAATTATTATTATCTTAATGTTAATCATGATTTTTTTTTAAAAATAAAAAACTATAATTAATAAGTGTCCCTCTAACTTAATTTCTTGAATCCGCCGCTGACTCGATGTTAGCTTGTTTGCACATAGGATAAAACTAGGGAGTAGCTTCCCTCCAGTCCTAGATCGGACAAAAGGGTGTTGTTAGGCTCGTGGGGGTCCACCACAGGTCCCGTTTCAGTAATTTGAACCGTTCAATGTATAGAACTCGTTGAGTACTATATGTTTTTAAAAAATCATATTGATTGGATATTAATAGCTATGTGATCAAATCAGTTTTGTATAAAAAAAAAATAAACGGTGAACAAATTAACGGTTGACAAAAAACTGATTTAATGAGGTAGTTATCAATATCTGATCAACGTGATTTTTTATAGACATATATTACTCAACGAGTTCTACACATTAAACAATTCAAATTATCGAAACAAGATATGTGGTGGGCCCAACAACATCCTCCCTAAATTTTGTGGGAAGTTTGTACAGTGGAGCTGTTCATTAGATTTTAGTCAGATAATCTCGTATGACTTACTCCTCAAAAAAAAAAAAAGAAGAGAAAAACTCTCATGACTTATAACCTCAACCTGAGCTTATATTTGAGGTTTCATGCATCCAATAATAAGGTAGTTTCTCATCTCCAGAATTCATGTGTGCATTGAATTTTACCAATTGATGGACTGCAATGTCTACAAAATACAAATGGCATATATACTTGTGGGGATTTTCTTCATGGACAATGCAATGCCTTGTGCATTTTTTTTGTGTTTTTTGGTTGAGCTGAACTTATGCTCTATCATTTGAGCACATGTATAAGTGAAGCACAGAGGGGAAGTGTAAAAGTGAAGGAATGGACTATAGGATGTTCAAAAGAAAAAAGAAGAAGAAGCATACATCTAATTTCAGTAAGAGAGTAAACAGAACACCTTGCCCTCTTTGTTTTTTTATTTTACAACAATTCACTCCGGGTATAGCCCACGTTCAATTAAATTTAAATTTATATTACATATTTTATTTTATGACTTTTTGAGCTATTTCTTTGGGTTCCTTTTTTCTTTTGAACGGTCATTTCTTTTCTTTTTTTTTTCTTCTTCTTAATATTAGATACGCCCACTTTTCTTATTTAATTTACACAAACAAACACGTGAATTGAATCAGATTAATTTTGCTTGAAAAAATCACAAATCAATAAAAATAAAGTAAAAATATAGAAATACAAATGAAGTTTGTGCTTTGTAATTCAAACAATAAATTTTTATTTACACTTGGATATTTTACTAATTTTTAATTCAAATTTCCCATTTTTATTTCAACAGTAAACCTCAAGCAAAAATAAAAAAATTATTAGCTTTTCCGGGCTAAATGATCGGGTCGGGTCGGATCAAGAGCAAGTGGAATCCGGGCTGGGCAAGGATAGGTACAGAGTCCGACCCAATCCTATACCCCCTAAGTACTGTCTTGTTGCATTGCAGCTAAGCTAAGCTCTAAAACCCTGATAGCGTCCAAGAATTTGACGAGTCTCTGTAGTGTTCTTCGAATTCATCAATGGAACAAAGCACAGAGAGAGAGAGAGAGAACTGTGTTAGAGTAACTCTTTGATTGGATTCCAGAAGCCATTACAATGTTTGCGTCGAGGAACCTTCAAAAGCATTGCTTCAAGACCCTTTCTTCTCTCATTCTCAACAATCCCTTCAAGTACTCTCTCTCTCTCTCTCTCTCTCTATATATATATATGTGTGATTAGGTTTGCTTCTCTTTGTTAATCTTTTCCCTTATTTTCTTGAATTGTTGATAAATTTCAGGAATGCGTTGTTACCAAGCGATGTTCCATTGAAATTAATGTCAAGCAATGCGATTCAGACAAGTTTCCCTAACTCTACTGCAAATCTCCTAATCTTTCATTCATTTCCTCCCGGATTCAAAGATGTCTCTTTGTGCTCTACCAAGATCTTCAATTGCTTTGAGGGGTCGAGGGCCATGTCGACGGGGAAGGGGAGGAGCATGAGAAGCAAAGTGGAGAGTCGAATGCGAAAAGAGTCTGGTAAAACCCTAAGAGAGATTAGGCGGGCCAAGAAATTGAGAAAAAAACTGATGACCGATGAGGAACGCCTCGTTTACAACCTCAGAAGAGTACGTTAATTTGCCCTCTTTCTATCTCTATGATGTTATAGCTGCTACATGTTATCTCTATTTTGTTTAATCGATTGGGGTGGTGGCCTATACATTAATTCTTTCTCTCAAATCTGCTTCATCAAGGTATTTGTATAGCTTGGGTCCCGTTTGACAACCTTCCGTTTTAGTCAAAAAGTCAATATATCATATCACTCATCTACTTTTTTATCCATCATTTCATAAAAAATTACTAAAATAGCATGTTTCAAACGAAGCCGTAGTATCTAGAGTATGTTGTGGGTAAATTATTTGATAAGAATTGAGGGTCATAAAGTTCACCATTCCAAAACTGTTGGCAGTTTTGCCAATTTCTAAGTTTTCTGAAAGTGTTTACTTTCTATGGATTGTATTTCATGGTATCCCACAACATTCTTGAGAACCCTTCCTTCTTTTTAGTGCTAGTTAAGGGATTTTAAATGGATAATATGGGTTCCACAGAGGGGGAGATTGAGGGCGTGTAATTGGTTTTTTTCATCCTCTGAATTTTTGTTAATTTTAGTGTTAAATATTGATGGCCTGGAAATCGGATGTATTTTTCTAGCCTCATGTACAAGACAATCTTTGTTTTGTTTGATTCATATATCAGAATCATTACTGCAACTACTCCTAGTGCCACTATTAATACGGTTATCCACTTATCCCATTTATTAATCTCTGATTATGCTAGCCTGCTCCAATATCACAATTTCTTGATTTTGGTTAAGCTTCAAACTCTTCAGCTTCTGTTACAATAGACTGCAATGCAGCTGAGGAATGTGACATCGTATTCTATTCAAGCTCTTTTCCTATCAGATTATTATTACATTCTATGGCAGCATGCATGAAGAAAACAGGAAGGTTTCAGTTGATTTTATTTATGTAGTCAGTTTGAGGTTCTACGTTCTAAAAACTACATCCACAGCTGGACCGGAGTATGACTCAAATTAAGGCTGGAATTAAACAAAAATCTGGTTTTTTTTTTTTTTTTTTTTTTTTTTTTTCTTTTAAATTTTTTTATATGCTAAGATATATCATTGAAGGATGCCAAGAGGGTGTCACCCACAAAATAAAGAGCTATGGCTCTTCTCCAAAACTAAGCTCTCCAATGAAATTTAGGCCTAGTTTGGGAAGACTAAAATAAGTGTGTTTTTTGACTTTTTATGAAATATGGGTTGGGTTTGAAGTGATTTGTTAGAAAGGTGACGTGACTTAAATAAGATGATATGACTTAAATAAGATAGTAACTTTTTGACTTTTTGTTTTTTTTCAATCATGCCAAACTTGGCCTTACAAGAGAAATAGAGAATTCACATAAATTTCATGTTAGCCAAAAATAAGAAGTAAGATGATTTAAGTCTATGTATTGTCATTTTCCATTTTTCCAAAAGTACACAGCTACACTGTCTCCCAATCAGGTTTTATGACTGCTTTCTACAATTTCACCATACAAGGTTCAATTCCACAATCTTGAGGCTTCAATTTAAAGCTCTACCAGGAGGGAAATAGGAAGAAAAGAAATATCGAAATTTGAAATTTTATTCTCCAAAAATATTTCCTCAAAACAGAGGGATTACAACCATTTATGTAGGTTATGCAATTAGTTCATGGTGCAGTACGTAGGAGTTAAGAAATCTACAAATGAAAGACAAGGTAACAAGTGATCTACAAGCTGGCACCTCAAAGATAAGTGGCCAAGGACCAGACTTCTAAGTTATACGACCTAAATCCAAAAATAATATCATAAATTCAAAAGAAAAAAAACCTGCTTTTGAACTCTTCTCTAAAAGTTTCATCATGTGCAGTCGGTCCAGCCCTATTATTGGTTACATCATTTAGCTTCATGCTGTAGGTTTCAAAAGCGATATTCTCTAAACTACAAAATATAATATATAATACTCTTTTTGTCCGAAATCACTGAATTAACCTCTCTTGAACCCACAAATATTTTATTTTCATCCCATCTACTAGTGCTCTGCATGCTGAGATTAGGTCCTAGTGTTAGTACACCTCTTTTAGGTAGTAATTCGAGTTCATCAACAAAGAGTGCACTGTAATTCTTTCTTTTTCCTCAGGTTCAGAGGTGATAAGTAAATCCAAAATTCCAAATCCATTGCAAATGTGTGGATAAGAATAATAGTGCCTTGATATGTTTCAAATGGGGATATATCTTACAAATGTCTTCAATGGATTTGCTTCTTGTTTCTTTTACATTTATTGTGTGGTAATTGTTGACTCTCATGAAGGACATCTTGTTTTCTCAACATGAACTCCACCTTCTGATGTGTTCACATCTGTTCTAAGATAAAATCATATCTGAGAGTTTCTGTACTGAATGTGTAAAGATTGCCGGAGCTTGCACTTCATCACAGTCTTTCACACTTCTCAAGTACTAAAAGGTTTCGTTGCACCTTATTTTGGAAGGTTTTGATCCCATAGTTAATTTTTATTTTATGAAGGATTTAACTATTGTGTACTCACGAGTTCAAAGTTTTTAATGCATATCAGGAAAAAAAAAAAAAAAGAAGAACTAGAAGAAGAAGAAGAAGAAGAAGAAGAAAGAAGTATTGAATAATGTTATATGTACCAATTAATGTACTAACTAGTATACTAACCGATGATGTGGTATAATTTAAAAAGTTTTGGATATTTGTAATTTGTATAATAGGTGGGGCTAGTAATAATGACATAATATTAATTGGTACACTAGTGTGTACATTAATTAGTGCATGTAGAGCACCCCCGAAAAGTATTTTACTGCATTCTTGACTATTATGGCCTTGTTCGGCAAAGACTATTTTTTGCCTTTAGGGCTAAAACTCACAAAAAGACAAAATAAACTAAAATAGCCAATAAGACAAAATGTCACATTAAACCCATAATCATTTTACTTTTTCTCTCCCAAACATCACATCCAACTATAAAAAAATCAAACCATCTTCCCAAATACAAACATTTTAGCCTTACTAAAATAGTCAAAAACTAAAATAGCGTACTAAAATAGTGAACTTCGCAAACGAGGCCTATATATGATTTTATCATTTTATAGCATCTTTTTATTATGTTTTACTATTATTGCTAATGCAGGCCAAGAAAAAAGTGGCGTTGCTTCTGCAGAAGCTGAAAAAGTATGAGCTGCCAGAGCTGCCACTGCCACGGCATGATCCTGAGCTTCTGACGCCTGAGCAACTCCAGGCAATTAAGAAGATCGGTTTCAAAAATAAAAATTATGTTCCTGTTGGTGTCCGTGGAGTCTTTGGGGGAGTTGTCCAAAATATGCATCTGCACTGGAAGTTTCATGAGACTGTGCAAGTTTGTTGTGATAATTTCCCCAAGGAAAAAATTAAGGAGATGGCAACCATGCTTGCAAGATTGAGTGGTGGTATTGTTATTAACGTACATAATGTGAAAACTATTATCATGTTCCGCGGTAGAAACTATCGGCAACCGAAGAATTTGATACCCGTGAACACCCTCACAAAAAGGAAGGTGGGTTAATTGTATCATAGGTCATCTTTGTCTCTCTCTTTTGCATTATTTGCACAACGAATTTGAATTGTGCAAAGTACTTGGAGTTAAAATTTATGCCAGCAAACCAGATTTGTATTAAATATCTGCTTTGCATGGGGATTGAAATGAGTAAACAATTGGTGATCTTTGACATGCAGGCATTATTCAAAGCCAGATTTGAACAAGCACTCGAGTCTCAGAAACTGAACATAAAGAAACTAGAGCAGCAGCTCCGTCGAATGGGTGTAAATCCTGATGATCCTGTTGCCATGGCAAGCATCCGAAGAGTTGCTTCTACATTCTTTAATGCAATTGACAAGAAGGATGGAAGCCCATACGTTTTCCGCGAAGACAAACAGTCAGAAGTAGAACCTAGTAGAAACCTTCGGTGGTTAGAACCTGGTGAAGACAGTGATCAGGAGGAGCTTGACAGATTCATAGCTGAAATAGAGGATGCAGCTGACAAAGAATGGGCCGAGGAGGAAGCAGCAGAGAAAGAAGAACTCGGTAAGATCAGATATTGGAGCAGAGATGATTTGGGTGGGAGGTTTAGAAGATCTGAATTGCTTAGAAGTGAAGATTCTGTTGACGCCACTAGAGGAGGGGGAAGGAGCTGGAAAGATGCAGAGAGTGGCAGGCGACGGAGTGATGATGAAGGTGATGAAGAATGGGATTCCAATGGTGTAGGAGATGCGAGTGATTATGAGAGTGATACTGCCGATCATGATCAAGCTCGTTACAAATTTAAAGCACCAAGAGTAGAAAGGGGTAAGCAAAATGGTGTAGGCAGAGCTAATGGGAATAAAGGTTTTAAGAGAAATGTTGAAGCTAAATTCTCAGAAAATTTGCCAAAAGATGATTCTGGGTCAGATAATATGTTAAGCGACGTGGAAGATGCTATGTGGCAATCTGACAGTGAGGGAAAACAAGATTTGGGGAAATCAGAAGCAACAAGAAATGATTACAGGAGCAGCAGTGATGAAGAGGAGGATTTTCTTCAAATGAAAAGAGATGAGAAGAATGGTGTAGCTGTGGTGAATCATTTTGAGAGTGATTCAGAAGATTTTGATGAATCTCTTGACAAAATGAATTTATCTAGGGTGGCAACAGAGAAGCATAGTAAGATTCACATAGCTAATAATAACAAAGCTTTTGATAGAAATGCTGGAGCCAACTTTGGAGGGAAGATTGCAAAGGAAAAGTATGAGTCAGAAGATCTGTCTGGTGACTCAGACATTGCAATGTGGGAATCAGATGCTGAGGAAGATGTTGATTCTGAAACATTAAGATCGGAAACTTATGATCACAGGAACAATAGTGAGGACGATGATTACGTCTTGAAGAAAGACGGAAAGGGTGGGGTGAACGATAAAAAGAAGAAAACACCAAAACAGGCGGATGAAACTTGGGATAGTGATTAGTTTTGTTGCAGAGCCAAGCCCTTTTTACAATATTTCAAGAGAAGTTGAATTCAGGAAGGCATAATTGATAGGAGAATGGCGATTAAGTTAATTCATGTTGGGGGGTAGTCATGAACTCTTCTCTTTTTCTGTAAAGATATCATCTACAATTGACCTGGTGAAATGAGATCATGATGTTGCATTTGAAAGCAGTATTGTTCCTCAAGGTGTTCGAAGATTCTCTATTTGGTTTGGGATTGAGCTGGGAACATGCTGAAGATGCCAACAAATTCAGCTCGAATGGCTCTGGCTAATTGTGCTGTCGTTCTAGCTTCAAGTACCCATCTGAGTTCAACAATTCCGGTTTTTATATCGTCCACATCCATTAACCTGAACATTAGAAATAAAATACATCAAATTACAATTCTAAACAGTTTTAAAGTACATTTGACTTCTTAAAGTAATTTTGCATTCTTTTCCACTAACAGTAGTGGCTGGTATTACGCAATAACAGTGGTGACAGAGATGGAATTGTGGAAATGTTGTTTCTTGTGCATTTATATTTCAAAGAAAGAGAAAAATATTCTCTAGCATAAGAACTGTTTAAACAAAATTTCACTTTGCTGTATTAGATGAGGTTTTTTTGTTAGTGGAAGTTTCCCTCTCCTCCTAATGTTGTTTTTGGTCACAGGATTGCATTTCAAATACCTTAAGTTTCCAATAATTTATTTATTGCTTTTAACATGTTTTTAACTGGGGATTTTTCATGAACTCGGTCACTATAAGATGGTTTGATATATGTATTGTTGTGTCTATTTTTTAGTAGTATAAATTTTTGAAAAAATTAGTGACTTAACATGGTATTAAAATTCGGGTTGAGAGAGGACCTAGGTTTAAGTCTTTTCGCTGACATTTGGTATTCTGTTCCCGTTTGGTTGTTTGCTTCTTCTGTTTACTTTGCTTTTCTGTTTGTCTTTCCACATGTACTGGTGTTAGATAACTTGATATATATTATTGGGTTCATTTCCAAATAGTTTAGATTTTTGGAAAAATTGGTGCACTTATGAGAATTAAAATAATGATAATCATATAATAAAAAAAGAGTAAACTATTAATAGATCTTAATAGTTGGATTTAATTTTCATCAAGTCTTATTAAAAATAAGTTTTAATACAATTGTCACTAAAATAATTTTTTGTGACAACTTTATATACGTCGCTAAAAATTGATAATTAACGACTTTTTTGTCATGATTTTTATAAATTATCGTTAAAATTTATAATTAGTGATGTTTTTCTATAACGAATTTTTCAAACTATAGCTGAAAGTTAAAAATTAATGACTTTTTTTGTGACAATTTTGTTTAAACTGCCGCTAAAACTTATAATTAGTAACATTTTTATGACAATTTTTAAAATGGGTTAAAAATTAACAATTAATAACATACTTTTAATAGTATATGATAAAAAATATCATTAATTATCCTAAAACTTATTAGACACTAAATTCACTTAATAACACCTACACATAAGTCCCCTAAAAAAGTCCAACCTCATTTAAAGACTCTCACTTGTTCAACATGTTGGTTGGATAATTTTTCAATATGCCTAAACGGAGTCAAAGATTGAAGATTGCAAATCAATGATGTATGATGATTGATTCATTCCCTTCTGCTCTCAGCCTACAATTAAATTAAATTAAATTAAATTAAAAATTGAAGTCTTAAAGTCTTTACACCGTGTTGCAAGTTCCACCAAAGTTGAAAGGGTCTAACAGTAGGTATTTTAAGCTTTTACATTTTATCTTCTTAATTTTTCATAATTTGTTTTTATTATTTTGACTTTATTTATTTTTTATTTTTTCACTTTAGTTCCTAAGTTTGTAATTTTTTTAAATATAAATTTCCGTTCAATTTTAAAAGAAAAATACCACATTGACGGTCATAAGGGCATGCGGCTTTAAAAAAAAAAAAAAAAGAAGCATTATTATATTAAAATTTTAGATAGATTGCATTCTGGTCTCCTTAAAGTTTATGATTTTTTTACTTTTAACTTTTAAAGTATTCTTTCTATGGAGAAAATGAGAGAAAAAAAACAAGTAAACTGACTGACAAGTCCCTGGAATTAAATTTTTTTTTTTCTTCTAAAATATGTTAGTTCAATCAATCAATAATATTATGTTGATGATATTATTTTATCACATTTTGTTTATTATATAATATATATTATTGTTCCCTTATTTTATTTAAATAACATATTAGGTGATAAATAGAATGCAATAAGTTTAGGTATCGCTTTTGAAATAGTTGTGTTGCGAACACAAATGATTTTCACATAATAAGATGCAAATGTGAAATGAATGGTGAGTTGCATGTGCGAGGTCAACTATTTATCTTATATTTGTATCTTATTCTCTTAAAAATCGTTTGTATACTTAGAAATCTAACTTACACATGATTAGAAAAGGTACACAAAAATTTTTGCATCTACCATAAAATTTGTAAAATTTATCTACTCTAATTTAGTATGCTTGGTGAGAGGCAAAATTGGCCTCATTCATTGACCAAGATTAGTATAACCATGTGACAGGAAGTTGGTATCTATGATGTTAACATTTAGAGGAAAGTTAATTAATGAGAATGGAATAGACTGACTAGGAAATTGTGGCTAAGGAAATGCTTAAAAATTGAGCTCACCATAGGCCTATTTTAGTAATTTAAATTGTTTAAATTTGAGGATTATTTATTTATTTATGATAAAAAATCATATTTAACTGATATGAATAGGCACAAGATTTTATCATATTTATTTAATAAAAATAAAAAGTACATTTTTAAAATCATATCATGGGCTTTTCTTTTTGTTTTGAAAAAAAAGCTGTCAATAAAATAATTTATTTATAATTATTGAATTAATATATATATTTTTAAAAAATGAACTATTCACAATACATTAAAAAAAATCAATAACTAAAATTATCATAATGAGGTCTATGATGCCCCGCAATCAAAGTGAGCTCTCTGGCAACATCTAAAGAATGCCTTGCAGTTTGGGACACAAGGACAAGGACTAGGACTAGGGCTTTCTCAATCCTTGTGGCATGACTTCACAAAAATAGGTAATTATTCAATAAGTCTAGAATGATAACTAATAATGTAGTGAATTTTTTATTTAATAATTTTAGAATATTATGTGACATGATTTATGTGATAATTAATTATTTTATTTAATAATTTGAGAATATTAAGTGTGGCATTATCAATGTAATAACTAATTATGTAATGAAAATTTTTATAAATGGAACATAATGATTTGTATTTGTTAGATAATTAAAAGATAAAAAATAATTTATTTATGTATGTTATAATTTTTTATTTATTGAAAATACGACGTAAATGATGTCATAATATATAATTTTTTTTTTACAGAAGGAAGAAATTAGTAGTGATTGTTAGTGGGAATCTATTTTCCATTTTTAGTTGTTATTAGTCTTCAATGCATGTTTAACAGTTACAGCAATATTGTACGCAAAAGTCATATTTATTGACCTCTACAGAACAAAAGCAATAATCAACCAACCAATTCATTGATGTCCCTTCCCCTCATCAATCAAGATGATGACTTGACTTGACTTGCTTTCTCAACACCGAATTCCTCCCTCAACTCTCATATATGTGTCGTTCACATTCACAATTATTGCAGAAAGAAAAATGTTTGATGGCCATAATTTTTGTGGTCACAATGGCTCAAAATTATTAAAACGACGTCGTTTTGGGTGTAAAATATGTCAAAACGACGTCGTTTTGACAGTTTTGAGCTATTGTGGTCACAAAAATTGTGGCCCTCTAACATTGTTGTTGAAGATAATGGCTCATGTGTGTTCACAAATTACACATCTATAATATTGTACCAAAAAAAAGTTTAATAAATTTCGAATAGTTGTTATCACTCACAGACTACAAACATTAGTTAGTTACAACTATAATCAGTTTCAAGATGTTCAAATTTATGTCTTCGATTTCAAGATGTTCAAATTTATGACTTGTACCATTTACCCCTAAACAAACTAAACTCTATCCAAGCAGATTATTTGAAGAATTGAAGAATATGAGACTCCTTTTCACTTAATTCAATTAATATTTTATTCAAATCAATGTATTTGTTTTTTCTTTTTTTCTTAAAGACTTCTACTTCCTTTAATTTAATTTTAATGTTAAACAATGTCCTAAATGCACCCCTTAACATTTGTCAATGTTAAACAAATGTCATAAAGTTTTATCCAAAGAAAGGAAAATTATTCAAAGAGCATTCTGATCATTGTTTAAAGGTGCAGAATGACCCAAAGTTGTTTTAATTTGAAAAATGCAGCCAAACAAAGGCAAGTCACTCCCACTTTAAAATTTGCAAAAGTACATCCCAAACAAAGAACAATTTTCAATTCTCAAGAATTCGACTTTGAAAGCTCTATTTAGTTCATTGGAACAAAATGAAACGAAATAAAATGATCATTCCATTACAATTATAATGGTTAATAATTGTTTTATTTGTAATATATTTTGTATTATTTTTTTAGTCAACCAAACATAGAAATGGATTTTGATGAAAAATTAGGAAATCATGGAAGGTTTAAAAAAAGGATAAATCAATGTATATAGAGCTCAATAGAAGATCCACAGAAACTAGATGGTACAAACAAAGGAGTCGAACAACAACCCAAGTTGATAGCAGCATATATGAATATAAATTAACTATGTCAACCTCAAAAGACAGCAACAAAGAAACAGAGTTCCTAAATAAAGAAGCCTGAGAAATGTCACATTCTACTCTACTGCAAATCTCCTAATCTTTCATTCATTTCCTCCCGGATTCAAACCTAAAACCAGAGAGAATACAATCTTTACCATCCCCAGAAAATCCACAAACCAACCAAATCTTTTAAATGACCTAGATTTTGTTGGGTATAAGGTATAGCTTTATATCAATCTATCCAATGGAGCCTCCACATTGCAACACAAAATCTTCACCTCAAACTTTACAAGATTTCCTAGAAAACTCAGCCACTTTCTCTTCTGCAGTTTCCCGGCAATAGGTACTTGTACTTATCCGCGTTATTCAACAAATATGCAGGAAGATGTACTGCTGAATAAGAATGAGGTATCGATCCCATCTTCCCTATCAGCTCCTTAAACGTGTACTCCTCGGGTAGCATGTCATAGAGATCAGACCCTTCACAAATTTTGTCCTGGATCCGTTGGGGATTCAGGAAATGAGGAAACCTCACACGATCGGTATGACTATAAGCTTTCATCTTGAATATAAACTCACTGATTCGGCGGAAGCAAAAACTACAGTGCCATCCTGAATCTGCCAAGAGGTAGTCGCTCTGACGAAAATGGGCATACCTAGTCTTACCCCTTTGATACCTATGGACTGAAGCTCTCCAACTGTCAAGATCATAAAGGAACTCGAACGAGTACAAATAGTTCCTCAGCTGAAGGTGAAGCTTTGGAGGAATGTCATCACACCATCTCAAGAGATTGATTGTGTGTCCACTAGGGATCTCATCCACATCAGACATAATCAATAGATCATCATCTTGTATACCTGCTATTCTGAGAAGCTGGTCCAGTGCTACTCTTTGATAAGCTTCTTCGACAAACGGGTTTTCGCCTTTCCTAAATCTCCCCCCAATTGTCCCATAAGTCAGCCGAGGCTCAACAAATTTGAACTGGTCGCGATTGATAGAGAAAAAGTGAGGCTTGGGCAAAGCAGTAAAGGTTGAGTTTGATTCAATAAGAACAAACTTTGTGATGTAAGGATACAATTCTTTCCATCGGATTGTAAGCATCTCCACTTCATTATTGAACAGTACAGCATCAAAGACTCGCCTCGGATATTCGCGAGTTTTCCAACCATGAAGTTTGCAAAGATTCTCCATTGAAACATTTGGATTATAATAATGTGGTAAATTGATGAATGGCTTTGGAGGAGATTGCCAGATTGGCCGAAGGAAGTAGGTGATCTTTTGACCATGAACATAGATACTAACTAAAGCTATTGGCACAATCAGAAACAAAAACATCAAGATCCTCACATCCACCCCACGTAACAAGCATCGTAGTCTCAACATGCTCAGCAGTCCACGGGTTTCCTGCTGCAAATTAAACACAACAATTTTTATATTAGACACACAGATTGAGTAAACAACACAATAACCACACAATACAAGGTCAAGATACAATTTGAAATTTGAAGTGAGAGCTCCTGTTTTGCATTCTTCAGAGCACCATTTACAATGAAACTACTCAATTTAAATCTAAAAATTCAATCCAATTTCCAAACCAAAAGCCCTCACATGGACATGGATACGGACATGTGACACGACACGGACATGGAAATACGACAATTTTCAAAAAATGCAGAACATGACATGTGGGAGACACGTACAGAATATATAATTTTATATATTTAATTTCATATATATGAACATGTCATTCTAAGATAATAAATAAATACAATATAACTAATTTCTATAGATTGACATTATTTTTCTTTTATCATCTTATTCTAAGGTATTTTGTTCAAACTTATAATTAATTTCGTGTGTCTAGTCAATGGCCCCGCATGTTTTCCAAGTGTCCAAAGGGTGTCTGAGTCTTTAAATTTTTTATAAAAAATTAAGACACGTTTAGATGAGTGTCGGACACATGTCCGGAGAGTATCCGATGAGTGTTAATGTCTGACACGGACACGACACGGATATAGGTCACCTTTTAGACTAAAGTTCACCAACTTCACCTAGCAAGTTGAATATTGGTAACTAACAAAATTAATCTACACAAACTAATTCCAAAATTCCACAACAGAGGCATATATTTCTTTGTTGTGAGAGAGACAGAGAAAATCCAGGACATAGGAAAATTCTGAGCAACCGCGCAAGAATAATGAATTCATTGCTTCGAACAAATTCAAAATCAGGGTTTGAAAAGGGAAAAAAGTGGGTAAAACCAACAATCTGCGGTTCTAGGGTTTAATACCAACCTTGTGTTCATACTATCATAATATATACTAACCAAATATCAATCCAGATACATCAACAAACTAATAACTTGGTATAAAAATAAAAAATAAAAAAACCCAATTCTGTTTAATCCAAACAAGAACGAAATCGGGCATACCCTTTTCCCAGAACTCAACAACAAAATCAAATTTTAATTTTTTTTTACAAATACCCAATTCCCAGAATCAACAATGACAAACATAAAAAAAAATTACTGAGTAGAGAAAAAAAATACCTGGCCACAGATATTATCGGTCTTCTTCGAACTGGAATACCCATCAGCCATCATGAGGATTCAATACAAATTAACCCAAAAAATGCCGACTTTCGATTCTTCCCTACTTTCTCTATCTCCAACTCTCCCGGGTTTGTATAAATTTAAATTTGCCCCAAAAATAAAAAATAAAAAAAACCCAAAAGATCAAAAACCCCGGGAATCGACAACGAATTACAGAGAAAAAAACTACCCAAAAGACAACGATCTTCGAGGGCAATCTTCTAAATTTTTGGTCGATACAGCTTCAAAATGTCAATTATAGCCGTTTGGTGGCTTCTCTCTCCTATTGAAATCCCAGGAATTAGGGGAGAGAGAGAGAGAGAGAGAGAGAGAGAGAGTAAAATCAAATTGAGAGGGTTTGCTTATCTTATCTGTAATTGTAATGCCATTGTACGTATAGGAGAGAGACATATATAGGAGCGAGGAGTTGTAAATCTATGACATTACGAAAAACAAAAGAACCGTTTCTTTTTGCTCAACTGTCCCTACATTAAAAAATCCATAGATTTTGTTTATAATGAATTTACTAATGTAGCCTTCGATTCTTTGGATTAAGATTAAGGGGGGTTGGGGGGTATTAAGGACATTTTAATTTGTTTTCCGGACTACGGGATTACGGCTAGTTGGTCTCGCGCCGTTTGACCTGGTCAAGACATCCGTTATACCGGCCCTCTCTATTCCTTTGAATTGGTGCATTTGCATACTACATTGTGCCTGTTTGGCAGAAATTATTTACAGCTTATTTTAGCTTTCAGCTTAATTTAAGCTATTTTGATGTGTTTGGTTTAGCTTATACCTTATAGCTTTGTGGAAGTCAGAAATCAGCTTATTCTTTGAGTGGGGCAGGAGATGCTTTAAGAATAAGCTGGAAATCAGCTTAAGCTGAAAGTTATAAGCTATAAGCTGTTTAGGCATAAGCTATAAACACTTTCCCACAGCTCTACCAAACAGGGCAATTGTATACACGTTTTCAAATTTATTAAAATATGTTAAAACATTAAAATGTTAAGAATAATTTTAAGAGTTGTGGTTAGTGTTGAAAAATATATTAAAATGTATGAAAGATATATTAAGATATATAAATGTATTTTAAGCTATGTAAAAAAAGTATTGAAATTATAAATATTTTGGTGTTTCATTATTTTTTAAAACAATTTTAAACGTATTTTAATTTTCTTTTATAATCAGATATCTAAGATGAACTTTTAATGACCCCAAGATTTAAGATGTTTGGTTTTCGTGAGATTTAATCTTAACACCTTGTAGCTGGTAAGCCCTTAAGAGATTTTTAAAACAACAAGCTTGTTGTAAAAAAATATCTTTAAAAATAGATTAAAATGTTACAAAAACATTATATGAATAAAATTAGTGAAGAGTATTCAGAAATAAATAAAAAAATATCTCATATTTTTAAATTTTTTTCTTATTCCTTTATCTTAAAGGACATTATTAGTAAGATCCGTATATGAAAATGTTGTGATATATATTAAAAAAACTTTTGAGATTTTAACTTTTTATTATTTTTTTTCATAGACAGCTCATTGAGTTGAGTTATTATTTGGTTGGCTAATATAATATTAGTAATATTATAAATTCAGATTTAACTATTTAGAAATTATTTAAAATTATTATCTTGTGATTTAAATTTATTCTATTCATAAACTTCACACTATACAAATTTAATTTTAACCACACATTTTCATTTGAGATAAATTTGAGATAATTAAAGTAAAATTCATAGACTTTATACATATAATATATATGTAGACTTTGTTACCTTGTTTGTGTTATGGGTATGGCTTCTGTCCAGTTTGGGATCGGATTGTATCGTGCTGTTGGGTCCGTGGAGGCCCACCATGAGTCACGTTTTGATAATCTGAGCCGTTCAATGTGTAGAACTCGTTGAGTACTATATGCTTGTGAAAACTTACGTTGATCAGATATCGATAGCTATATGATCAAATCAGTTTCGTATTAAAAAAATTAGATGGTAAACAAATTAACGGTTGACAAAAAACTGTTTTGATCACATAGCCATCGATATCCGATCAACGTGATTTTTTACAAATATATAGTACTCAACGATTTCTACACATTGACGGTTCAGATTATCAAAACATCGGATTGGACCGTGCTGTTGGGTCCGTGGAGGCCCACCATGAGTCACGTTTTGATAATCTGAGCCGTTCAATGTGTAGAACTCGTTGAGTACTATATGCTTGTGAAAACTTACGTTGATCGGATATCGATAGCTATATGATCAAATCAGTTTCGTATTAAAAAAATTAGATGGTAAACAAATTAACGGTTGACAAAAAATTATTTTGATCACATAGCCATCGATATCCGATCAACGTGATTTTTTACAAATATATAGTACTCGACGATTTCTACACATTGACGGTTCAGATTATCAAAACGAAACTCGTGGTGAGCCTCTACGAGCCCAACAGTACGGTCCAGTCCGATCCCAGACTGGACAGAAGCCATACCCTTGTGTTATTTAGCATTTTTTTTTTCGGGTAAAAGATGATAGACCTACTTTGAAAAAATCCCAACCCTACTTATAAATCGAGCATTGTACTTAATCCTACCTAATGTTTCTAGGTATTATTAGGGTGTAAAAAAGGCATTGTTGGCCTTCATAGTGTTATTATATATATATATAGACAGCCACATTGTTCTCTTGTGCTCTTTTAAGAAGGTGGTAAAAAGTCAGTTTTTAATTTTTTATTGATTTAGGTTACATTATTTCTCACATAATTTATTCATAAAAAGAAAAAATAAGTTAAAAAAGCCTAAAAACTAATTTTTTATCAACTTTTCAAAACATTCCCTTGTTGCATTTGCATATTACAAATATTCATTCTGCGAGTTTGTATATTTTGAACGAAATGTGAGTTTATACATTTTGGACAAGTGTATAAAATTTTAGATATTTTTAATATTATTTAAAACTTTTTTTTGTGTTATTTTGAATTTGATTATGTTGTTTAATTATTATTACAAAATAATATTGCTCATTTGAGATGTGCTTTGTGACAATTTTAAAAGTGAAATTCTTGATGGTATATTGCAACAATAATAGTTATTAACATAGTGTGAAAAAGAGCTGATATATTTGTGACACGTCAAATATTATCCAACTTTAATAGTCAATTTTAACCGGTATATATAGTATTTTTTGCACAAAAATTAAACATTACCTAGGGAAGATAGAATTTGCAAGAGGTATATCTTGTGACATCTTTTGTCATTAAGGGGGCAATAGATTTGAAATTGAGTCTTATATGTCTTTTAGTCCATTGGTTTTATTTTCTACACATTATATTTTCTTTTATTGCATTTTTGTGATATATTGCATATTTTTGTAATAAATATTACATAATTTTTAAGTAATGTTACGATAAATTGTAATTCGAGTTATATATTTTCACTATAACATATAAGAGTTTAGGAACACAATTTTTTCATGTATAAAAGAGAAAATTTTATTACAAAAGTATTTAAGGACCAATTTTTGTTATTGCAAGTGTCATCACTAAAAAGTAGTCCTCAAAAAAAGAATTTTTAGTCACAAAATTTAAAAAATATCACTAAAAATGCACTTTGAAGGACCAAACAATTTGAAATTTTTGTTTTCATTATTAAATGTCAAATTTCGTCAATAACACTTTTGGCAATTAAAATATTTGGTCCCTAAAAAATAATTTTATTTCTAAATTTTTGTATGTAAAATATTAATTTGTTGTAGTGTTTTTTATAATATTATGCATGTTTGCGATATTGTTATACATTTTTTCATCAAAACATTTTTGAATTGTAACAAATGTAACATTATCATAAAAATATGTAATTTTATTTATTATTAGTATTATTATTGTTATTAATTTTTGATGAATTCTTGATTCTTAGATAAAGTTAGGCCACAAACCACAATGTTGAGTAGGGGAGAGGACGAATTGTTCAATGTGGGAAAGAGGGAGGAATGGTTCCACGATTACAAGTGGAGGGTGCGGATAAAACTAGAATTAATTGAATATAAAAATAAATGAATGAATATCTTGGTGCCTCAATTCAAATGCCTCATCATGGGTCCAGATTACCTAGTTCTAGTCCAAAGTGATTATCATTGTAATTTCAAATTCCTGAACATGGATCCAAATTACCTAGTCCTAGTCCAAATTGAAGGTCATTGTAATTCCCAATTATTATATTAGCAGTGTTATTATATTTACATTTTTTTTATTTTATATAATCCCTCTAATGAGTGGCTACACAAAATGAATGTAAGGACAATTTTGAGAAAATATTTAAATGTTGGTTAACTTTTTAAATTTTGTTTGTCATGTAATTAGGGGAATTGTAGAAGAAAAAAATTGTGTGAATAAATTATTTTTTATGGGTTTATTACACTTTATACCCCTAAACTATCATCAAATTATTTATTTAGTCCATGAACTATAAATATTAGAAATTAATAAAAGACCCTACCTAGTTAAAATTTTATTTTTAAAAAAAATTTAAATTTTTATTCCGTCTTTGAAAAATGGGCGTCAATCCATATATTAAATTTCTTTTATAAGGGTAAAGGGTAATTATCTATAGTATTTTCTTACTTATTTTCTACAATGGGTACGTGCTTGCCTTTATTTAATATTATATGCCAAATTTCGTTAATAATTTCTAATTGATTGTTTTTAAATTTTTCGTTAAGTTCTTTTTATTACTTTAATTAATTTATTATTTTGTTCTATTACTATTTGCAAAGAAGTGATATTATTTAAATTATCTAATTTTACTTCTTTAGTATATCTAATATTCATATAATTTATTTGTAAGACTGAAAAATCAGACTCTAATATTAATATAAACAAACGATGAAATAAAATACATTTTAAAGACAAAATAAAAATTTAAAAGATTTTTTTGTAATAAAATCTTAATTGGGGATTGTCTTTTACTAATTTATAATACGTATGGACATATATTTTATTTTTGCAAACCTTTTACAAATTAAATAGGTTTGAATTAAATATTTTAGGACTAAATAAATTCAATAGATAGTTTAGGAATAAAAAATGCACCAAACTCTTTTTTTATTTATATATTGTATATTATATATTATTATATATAATGGTGTTTTGAGAAATTAGTAAAAAATTGACTTTTGACTTTTTTAGTCTATTTTATCTTTTTATTGATAAAAAATATGAGAGATAATGCGATTCAAAATGGATAAAAAAGTTAAAAACTAACCTCTTTTTTTTTTTTTTTTTTTTTTTTTTTTTTTTTTTTTTTTTTTTTT